CAGCCGTGCAGAGGGGCTCTCTGTGCCCGGCCAGCACAGCCTGTCCCGCACGGCTCCCAGGGGCACACTGACCCCCACCCCACCAGACACCTTCCCTGCTCCCCCTCATGAGCTGGGTGTTTGGCTTCTGCCAAAAGAAGGGCAGTGAGAAGGCTGCCAGCAAGGCAGGGGCAGTGGAGACAGGGTCCTTGCAGGTGTGCAGACCTCCATTCATCCTCGCCTTCGGGTGCACATGCCCTCTGTGATGTGCCACAGGAAGACACCACACCAGCACTCACACAAACACTCCTACAGGGACACCAGGCTTGGCTGCCAGACAGCAAACTGCAGCTTACCTGTGTAGTCAGGGTCTGATACTAAGATTAGAGAGAGGATGGATCTTGTCATACCTGAACCTGGTTGTCCTTAGGTTCATGTTGAGGTGCAGAGTAGCACCTTAGAGTAAGGGGCAGCTTGAGGAACCATGTGGCTGCTTTTCTTTCCCTTCTTCAGGGTTTAAGGCTTGATGTTAGTGATCAGCTTAGGATCCCTCCCAGAAAGGTTTCTAGTACTGGTATGTCTAGGTGGAAGCTTGTATGTCATGTGAGCCCACAGTACCTGATAGCTTTTCAAAAGTATAAATTGCCGGGGACAGCCCAAACCCCCCATATCAGTACCTGTTGCACAAACACTTCCACTCCAGATGTCCACGGTAAGAAAAAAATCAAATATTTCCTGTCCTTGCAATCCCTAACATTCTGTCATTCTGTGTGAAAAGTCATTTATTAAAAAAAAAAAAAAGAAGAGCTGGGTGCTGTGTGTGGGGTGAGCCCAGTGGAGGGCAGCCAGGATGCCTGGGAGGCTGAGAGCTGGGCTTGCTCTGGGTGGAGAGGTGGTGCTGAAGGGTGGAGGAGATCCACTCACTGTTTTCAGCTACCTAATGAGTGGTTATGAAAAGATAGAGCCAGACTCTCCTTGGAGTTGCAAAATGAAAGACAAAGGGCAATGGACACAAGTTGCCCCAAGGGAAATCCTGTTTAGGTGTGAGGCAAAGCACCCTCACGTGGGGGTGCTGAGACGCTGGCACAAGTGACTGGGTGAGGCCCTGAGCCATGTAACAGCTCTGATGCTGACTGGACTGGTGGCCTCCAGAGGTCCTTGCCCACCCAAATTACTCTGAAATGGGATTCATCCAAATCTAAACACTTCTCAGCTGAGACTGCATCTGGCGAACTGGAGAAGAGCAGCACTAGAAGCAAAGGCTGGCTTGTGTCCAGCTTACTGCCCTCTGGGACCAGCCCCCAGGTTGTGGTTAGCTCGTCTGCTCCCCAGCTGGCCAACCCACAGCCTGTATTGGTTCCGAGTGTTATTCTGTCTCAGATGCATGACTTTCCCTTTGCCCTTTGCACTTTCCCTTTGATAAAAGCTTAAGAAAGCCTTGTTTTAGGAGGAAATACAACAGGATTTTATCAAAACCTCAGCCTTTGTCTAAGGTCTTACAGCTGCATGATGACAAGATTACGTTAACACGCTTGATTTCCTGGGCTGATTTGTTTCATCAGAACTACCTGCTCATCTCTAAGGGAGACTTGTGCAGGGCAGGCTGGAAAAGTGAGTCCTCATGGCTTTGTGTTGTTTTTTACCACATGAATGGCTCACCTGTGAAGAGAGGAGGTCATCTCTTCAAAGGTTTGCTTCATATTAAAGATTTAATAGCAAGAAATGGGCAAAGGGATTTCTTTGCAAATACATGTTTTCAGATGATAGTGTCACATAGTTGTATATTCCAAACCAAGGCCTTGCTTAGTTTTTTTTCCTGGCATGCAATAAGTAACTGGGACTTGTCATTAGCGGATGAATGGTTTAGGCCAGTTGTAACACTTAATTGAGCAGTGATGGGACAGGGGATGAAAATGTCTCTGAGGATTCATATGTGTCTCACCCAGAACCAAACATCTCCTATAATACAGCAGCGAAAAAGACCTTGTCCTGCATCTCTTCCTGGCTGCAGCAGTGCACCAGCCTCACCCTAGTCCCCAGTTTACCCGTGGGAGGGCTGGGCATTGGCAGAGCTAGGTCTTATCTTTATCTTTCCTTACAAGGAGGAAAACATGAGCAACCTGTGTATGGCATCACTGAGCAACAAGGATTGCAATCCATACAAAGCCCTATGTTGGCATCCGTGTGACACTCAACCTTCATTTTCTGCAGCTTTTTATTTGGACATCTGCCAGTCTTGTGGAGAATGCTGAAGAAACAGGAGTTTATGCATGATCTCCTCCTGCAGTGGTAAGTTGAGACGTATCAGTAACATCAAATGGGGTAGCCCTGCAGCACAAATTACAAAATCAAGGCACAGAGGCCCCGAATTACATATTTAGCATCATTCAGAAGGTTGGTAGAAGAGCTAGAGAGTGAGCATTGATTTTTCTCTTGATGGCTTTGGTCACTGGAGACTGCAGTAGTTCCCAGTACGTGCTGCTTTGGTCCTTTGAGGTTATTAGGTCTAACTGTTATATGTTGGTGGTTTATACCATAATTCTCTTTTTTTTTTTTTTTTTTTCTTCCCTCCCCCTTTTCTTGTAGGGCAGAGAAATACGGACCTATTGTACGGCTTAATGCCTTTCACAGAGTCTCAGTATTGGTTCTGAGTCCTGAAGGAGTGAAGGTACTGCAAAACAAAGCTGAACCAACAGTGGGGATCAGCCTGTCTCTCCAGAAAGAGAGGTGGTGCCTGATGTTCAGGACAGCGCGGTGCAGCAAGTCTGTGCCTGCGGAGAGTGCTGCTCTGGCTGGGTTAGGATGATGAGGTGCTCTGCTCTCTGAGCTGTCCTGATTTATGTTCTTCATTGATCAGTTGATTTGTTTTGTTACCTTTATTTAAAGAGCAGATAGAGCAAACATCCACCATTTCTGAAAAGCAGATTCTTGGTAAGAGTTTAGTATATCAAATGAAAAAGACAAGGGACTGAATTTCTTCCTCAAAATCTTTGCAGTAACCACAAAGTGAGATTTCGGGTCTTTGGGCAAAAAGTGCTAGAGGTACATAAAAGAAGCCAGCAGCACGGGAACTGGGGAATCAGGGCACACCAGATTATTTATCTAGTCTTCAGACTATTGCTACAGGGGGAAAAGAGTATGTTAGCGGCTTTTTATGTTTTTGTCTGAGAAACGAGTTGCACTCAGTATTCACTGACCTGAGATTTGCTTTTAGGAGTTCTTGATGTCACCACAGTACCCAAAGGATCGGCTGGTGTATAGTCGTATCTTCAACATATTTGGTGAGAGGTAGGTGAAACCCATCTGAAGTCCTTGTGATCTGAAAATAAGTGAAAGATTAATAACATCACAGGCCTGACACTTATGTTGACTCAGACCATTTACCTTAGTGTGGGGATTAACGAATAATTCTAGACGTGTGTAAGCAGCATGTACCTATTAAAGTACGTGTCAAGTCAAATGTCTTCACAGTCAGGGAGGAGCTTATCTTGGATTTTTTTTTTGACATTGATTGTATTTTTTTTTCCCTTGTGGATATTCAGTTAGTCTCAGAATAGTTTGCTCAAGACCATCATCAAACTTCTCACTTAGATTTTAGAGCACGGAATTATTCCTTAATGCTCCTAAGTTTCCAGCTCTTAAGTTCAATAACAAAAAAGGGGATTTATCTCTGTTAGCCTGAAGCCTTTAAAAATATAATAATCTAGTTATTGTGTTAATTTGCATAACAGCTGTAATGAACCAGCATCTTAGTGGACTCAGCAGTCCACACCTATCAGACAAAACATATCTCCAGTTCAGTCGTTGTCCACAGTGATGCAATGACTGTTTACTCAAAGCAGAACGATTCTCCCTACCCGTGGGGAAAAAATATGAGACAGTAGATGTGGAAGAGTTACCTTTGTGACTGTGCAAGGTTTGATTGGCCCCCTTGCTGAAAACTGTTCCTTTCCTTGTTTTCCTAAATGCTAGGTTTCTAGGGAACGGCTTGGTAACTGATTGCAACCATGAGCATTGGCACAAGCAGCGGAAGATCATGGATCCAGCTTTCAGCCGAACGTAAGGCAAACATCTCTGGGGTGATCTAGCTGTTATTTCTGCTGTATCTTCGTAATTTTCCCTGTCATTGATCCATTATTTGATATTTAGAAAGAGAAAAAGCCCATTTAGTGCCAAAGACCACATTTTACTTAAGAGTCCAGTGCACCATTTCCAGGACAAGTATAATTTGACCAGACTTGCCATGAGGCAGGGACACCCTTATGAGCTCAGTCATGGCAGAAAGGGTTGTGTATCCAGGAGTGTGGTGGTGGCTGCCTTATCCTGTCGGAAAACAAACCTCAGGGATTTGACGTGGACAAGCCTCATCGTTCACCTGAGTGATTCCCTGTGGGAGATACGGTGTGATTGATAAGGAGGGGGTTGGTCTGGTTTGCTTGTGTGTGCCTCGATGCATTGTGTTTAGGGTCTGAAGAGAAAGAAAGTCCTTGTGCCTCGGTGTGCACAGGCCAAAGCCTTTTGCCATGACAGCTGTTGTTTACATGGCAGGACAGAGCATGGCTGCTGTAAGAAGAATTCAACTAATTTTATTTGTTCATTTTTTAAAGTATTAAGGCAAATACATTATAAACTTTTTTTAAAAAATCTTCACAATTATCTGTGGAAAATAACGAAGGTAATTTTGCCTGAGCAAAGATGTCCTCTCCAGAGTCCCCAACACTCGTTTTTATTGATTGTTCAGCTACCTGATTGGTCTGATGGATACTTTTAATGAAAAAGCAGAGGAGCTGATGGAGAAGCTAGAGGAAAAGGCAGATGGAAAAAAAGAGTTTAGCATGCTGACGATGATGAACCGGGTGACTATGGATATCATTGCAAAGGTACCAGCTATCCGCTTGCTTGTTTCCTCTGCAACTGGCAGGAAGGAATGGAAGTAACAGGTACCAGCAGCAGGATAGGATCCGGAGCTGGAGCCAGGGAACAAGACCTTTACCCAGCAGTGCCAGAATTGCTGAAGGACTAATTGTGCCGCTTCCATTCGGGCTGAGCCATAGCAAGGGACAGTTAGGAAAGGGTCTGCACAGCCTAGGTGTGGCCTGAAGGATGGGGACCCTTTGCAAAAGCCCTTGCAGCCTCATACTTTCCACCCCTTTGTGCCAAAAGGGACACACCAGTGTTTGCTCACCTGTGGATGTTGTATTATTACCATTGAATGTCAGCATGAAGTCTGCATTATACTGGCTTTTCCCTTCTCTCTGCAAAGAGTTTAGGATGAATGGAGAGTCATAGCAAATTATTAATCCCTCCAAATGCAGAGGAAGCATAATGTAGATCTTGCCCTTCCCTCGCAGCCTCCTGCAAGGCAGGATGTATCCTGAGGTATTTTTAGGGGAAAAGACAGCGGTGTGAGGCTGTCCTGCTCTTTCACCCCAACCCCAGGGAGCCAGGAGGATGCAGCGAGTTGCTGCCTGTTTCTCTCCTGCTCCTCAGGTAGCCTTTGGCTTGGAATTAAATGCGCTGAGTGATGACCAGACACCTTTGCCGCATGCTGTGACCATGGTTTTGGATGGAATGACCAAGACGCGCATCCCCCTCACACGGGTCTGTATGCACCTTGCTTCAGTCATCTTTCCTTGCATCCACCTGGAGCCCCTGCTCCTGCGTGAGTGGGCTGGAGCTATGCAAAGTCCATGTACAA